ATAGAAGGAGATCAGGTTGGTCAAGCAGGAGTAATCCATCACCTGGTAATGGGGAATAGAGAGCGATTCCTTGCATTTTCGTTTGTAGATTCCTGTGTCCAGGGTGCTTTTTGATCCAGGAAATGTCCTGCCTGGTCTCTTTGCCCCATAGGTAAAGAAGCTATATGGTTAACTTGGCAATAAGATTTTCTACTGCTAAGCATTATGTTAAAAGCCATGTTAAAATGTGGCATTATTATTGCTCCCCTTTTTGCTACTTCATTGTTTCTAACCACAGATGCAAGTTCCTATTTCAATAAATATCAAGTTCTCTTATAATACAACCCCCAATTCTTCTCCGACTCATTTTTCCTTTTTGCTACCAGAATACCCCACAGTTAGTAATTATGGGATGATCTGCTCCCAGAAAAACCTCTCCCCAAAACAGGCTATAAATTCTCAAGAATAAAAGTTTATTATGTCCCTTCCAAAGTTCTTGCTTACTTCTTCCTCTTTACTATTATGAACATAAATTTATAATCACTTCTTGAGTTAAGCTATGTGGTTGCCAAAATACGTGTTTGGAAGTGACTCAGAAAGGATTTTTTTAATTATTAGAATGTAAGTATGGTTCGCTTCCTACATTCATTTTTAATGGATGCTTTGTAGCTTGGAGCAAATTTTGGAACCCAAAACAGGGAGAAAAGCTGAGCTAAGACACTCTTGAAAAGGAAATCTAGCTGCTGTCGGACCCTACCATTACCAGACTTGCATGCTGTAAAATAAATTGGCCTTCATTTTCAGAAACATATCTGACCTAAAAGCTTTTGGCCCTCCATAAGGCTGAAGAGATGGAATAATACAAATTAAGTTCTTAACTGAAGTTCACATGCTTTTCACTAAGCCCCTCCAGTCATCAAGAGACTGATTCAATTACTCCAAGTGCTATAACGAGCTAGGTTCCCACAAGTGATTCGGGATGAAAAGCGTAAGGTGGCATGAAATCCTTTTAGCACTGTCATTTAGCTTGAACAGACACTACCAAAAATATTTGAGAGCGCAATAAAAGTAATTGCCTTTTGGAGAGTGTACAGAATAATATATTTATCTGCATTTTTTTCCGTTCCTTTAGTCTCTCCTTAGCAGTAGCACTGACAGCGCTTGATTCTTATCCCAAGATGCTGGCAACGAACAGATTAAATTTCTAAAAGAAAATATTAATTTCTGGAAACCAAGCCAAACTGCTCCTCTCTCAGACACCAAATGCCTTTCAGGACAGGGAGATTCAAACCCTCTCTTTGGACACTTGGAGAAATGAACCAAATCTAGCATACAGCTCCCCACAGGGCAAGAACTCTATCATTTGAACACCTTGGGAAATTATTTACTATCTCTTAACATTAACTCTAACACATTCCATCAGGCGTGAAATTGTTTGAAAATCGCTGTCTGCCTAAACGCTGCGATGCCATGTAATTAACTAAGTATGACTCCTCCTGATTGACATCTGCCAACGATGAACGATACAAGCTGCAGAAATGTACAAGTGCAAGCGACTGTTTGGGGGCTTTTAAGAACATTATGCTTTATTTATCATTTTGAAGTAAAAACGCAACTGAAATTATAGTGAAAGAATGAAGGCACTTACCTTATAGAAAAAGAGGAAGAGCCCAAAGAACAGACTGTAGAGATCCGCAGTCAGAATACCCAGGTTGACCGAGGTTGCGCTGGTAACTTTGATCACTACTGGCATGAAGCTATACAGCCCAAACATACACAGGGCAAAGACTGTGAACAGTAATGCTGTAAAACAAGATGATAATTTACTCATAAGGCACAGAATAATGATTTTAAATAACACCTTCTCGTCTTCAGACGCTTTCAAACTACGCATTTTTATCTTTTTGGATAAGGTCTTCTAAAAGACAGGGGAATGTAAATTTAAGAAAAACATGTCAGAATACTTCTTTTCCAAGACTGCCCTGTATTGCAAAAATTGCAGTATCTATGCAAGAAAGTTCTCGTTCTTTCCTAGTTAACTTAAGAGCTGAATGAAGAAATTGAGAGTCACATTTATTAATAACATACAGCTCTGTTGAGGTCAAAATGTGTCAAAAAATCCATTTTCCAGTATTTCATTTAGGAAGGACAACAGAAAAATGTTTTTGTGATGTTCCAACACCAAACACGTCTGTAATTAAACAGGTTTAATTTTTACTTATTTCAATTTATTTTGAAAAATTATTTCATGTTATACGTAAAATGCGAAAGCTGAGCTCAAAGGTTAAAACCTGCAAAATGTTCAGTCCTGCAAACCTCAGCAATCTCTTTGCTGAGCTGCAAAGTTTGCAGAAAATAAATTTGTGACAATATAACATGAATTATGCTTAATATTCAGAGAAAGAAAATTAAAACCCCAGTATTCAAAGTCTAAATGATTATAATTTTCCAGTGTTCTGTAAAAATGTACATCGTTTCGTCATACACATACCAATTTTCCAGTTCCATTGAATTCTCATTATCTCCCTATGCTCCACAATGGCTCTAGAGTTAGAGAAAAGATATAATACAGTAAAAGAGAAAAAAAATTCATATTCAAATAGAGAATTTAATTACCAAAATGTACAAGAAACATTTTGATTTACCATCCTTTCATTTTTTGTTTGAAATTTTATTGAATGACACTAACTCCAACATCTAACAAGCATGAAAAAAGACTTGAAAATTAAAGTGCCTGAAAGTCAAGAGCACTTCTGTTTAATTCATATGCCTCCTTCCCAGGCTTTTTCATCCTACAGAGATTCACTTTTATTTGATATACCATTTGAGGAAATTACTAACTATAATCATGAGAAATGAGAAACATAAAATTAATTAGACAGACTTAAGTGCATGTTGTCTGTCACTCTAACGTGGTTATTTGTAAGAGTACACATGGCTTCATTTCAAACTGAAGTTTAATATGGAAGACCTCCTGCTAACGATTATCTCCTAAACTTTTCCACAGAGAAAATCCATTAAGAAACACACTCCTGTGAACAGTCCTCAGCATACTGAGTGTCCTCATGAAGAGCAACAAAATCAAACATACAGCCAAGTATCCTATGTGTTCAGTTGCAGGATTTCAGCTTTAGAATTGCTGTAATAGGAGTACTGCAAATAAAAAGGATATAAAACGGATGCTGATCAGCAACAAAAATAAAATTCAAGTGGAGGGACTCCCATATAGGCCAAAGGCAGACATAACAAAGAATTCATTTAATAACAACAACATCATTTCATGGTAGACAAGCAATCATCTGTAGAATATTCTTAATTAGTTTTAAAATAAATATTAGATCCTTACAGCTGTAGACCGCTGATAATAGTCCCAAACAAGCCCACCATTCCTAGAAACTCCACTCTGCTCAGATTTTTCACAATGTATTCCTCACTCACATTAGAAATGGCATACAAAGAAGCACCAAGAAGCACTAAGACATCTCCAATCACCACGTCACTACCTGTACAGAAATATTAATCCACAATAAGGGTAATGCTGCAAACACTTTTTAACTTTCCTTAAAAAGACAAGCAAATTTATCTCTAACATCTCTATCTTCCTAGCACCTTCCAGGGTAAGGGGAAAGGAAACAACTCCTTGTGTGTCCAGATGAGTGGCAAGGGGTCTGAGCACAGACTCTGCTACCTGCTCACATCACCCTGCCCAGTCTGGAATAATCTGAATAAACCCAGCATTTAAATCTCATCCTGCCCAAGCCACTGCTGTATAGTCTGGTCCAGTCCTACTTCTGCTAACCTCAGGCACTGTAGAGACTTGAGAAAACTCCTGGTTAGAGATGCTCTCTGTCTTTCTGAATATTGCCCCTGCTTTTGCAGTAAGGTCTGATTCAAGTCTTGCCTAAAATCAGTCTATTGATTTCAGTGGGACCTGGACTCAGCTTCAAGTTTATGACGGGTCTTAAGTGGGCACTGCAGGTGGGCGGTATCATGTGTCCTGCTTCGATTTATTTATACGGTGCAAATGGGACTCCCTGTGATACAATCGCTCATCACGTAAATGCCATTATGCATCAGCTAAATAGCAAGAAGATCGCTGTTGTTTAAATCCTTGAATTGATTTAAAATGTCCTTCCCCGAGTCAGTTGGCAATCACTAAGAAGGTATGTCTGAAATACGAGGGTAAGCAGTAGTAAGGAGACCCAGGTCAGCAAACAAAGCACAATTGTCCTAAAGTCTCAGGGAAAGAAGATTTTTCTCCGTTACGACTGAGATACTTGGACCACATAGCACTAAAGCTAAACCTCCGTTTGTCTTGATGTCTTACCTATAGTAAGGCCCAAAATAATGCCAAACAGGCTTACCCCTTATGCTGCCTGACGAAGCAGGCCCCACTCCTCACCCCCTGAAATTTACCTTGCCTCATACCCACTGGCTCTTAAAATTCGACATTCTTATACGAAATAAGATCACTATGACATGCGTTGATTTAAGCATCTGTCATGGAGAAGATGAGACCTGCCCTCATCTGCGCCCGGCTGGATCCTGGTCCCCAGAGCCCAGCCTCTCTCCTGGAGGTCCCAGGAATCCCGGCATCCTGCCCACGTCTCCTCCCGCTCTCCATCGTAAGCCCCTGCTTTCCCGGCTGTGGCCTGTGGGCCACTTCTGTTGGGTCTGCCAAAGACAGCTTGGAGAAGTCAGCCTGCTCTTAAGTAACTTTTGATTTTCTATTTGTGCTCATCAAAAACTGCAAATCAGAGAAGTCTGGCTGCCAGCAGGCTGATACAGTGTAAGCAAGACAAGGTCTGCAGGGAGCAGCAGCATCTTTTATTAGGCCATCTCACATGATTAGCAAAAGTGAACAAGCTTTCACGAATGAAGCTTTTCATCAGGTCAGATAAAGAGCAGTGAAATTTAAGCTTAACACACGTGTTTCTCTTTCAAGGTGGAAGAAATAATCCAAATCTACAAGCAAACAAATTTCACAGCTCCCTATAAAATCAACATCTCCTCAGCCACTATCTTTTTGGACAAGAAATACAAACAGTAGCGTGTCTTCTCCTGTTCTCTCTTAAAATAAAACTATATCCACTCCCCCTCCATTTGCTCCTCTTCCTCCTTTGCAAGTTAGCCCACCATGGGAACCGTCTCTCCGCTCTCCCCCGCCACGAGAAAGGATTCCTTACCTTCGCTGTCCTGCCTCCCTGCCAAAATGTCTGCACCCACCATTGTTCCTACACCCAGCAAACAGACGGCAACAGCAATAAAATGGATCAGCCTGTATCTTGCGCGGAGAATGAACCACGACAAAGCCATCAGCACAGGAATCCCGAAACAGTCCAGCAGCTGTGTGCAGAGAAATGGTTTGAATTAGAAACCCACCCCAAATCTGGATTGCACTACCCTGAAGACAAATATACAGGACTTTCTTTCCATCGCTATTAGATGGCACCGAAAGCTGCAAAAGAACCCCAGTGGGTTCATTCAAAAGGGAGGTCAGACCTACATTTTACCATGAAAAGCATTTTGCAAGTAAAGGAGGAGCTGGGGCAGGGCATCCACTCTCTCCTGGTAGGAAGGCATTGATCTTGAAACTCTTCTACTCGTGGATCTAACCAATCTTTGCAGCTTCACAAATGAATGCTAGGATGTTGCTCTGAAACCACGTTGCTCCCCGTGACACCAATACAAGGAGGTGGTTCACTGACATCTCCTTTTCTCCCCAGCAGATTTTGTCTGGCTCATCATTTCACTCCTCCTCAAACCTGTAACTAGAATTTAGGGCTCTGTATACACAAAGTAAAAATCTGGAACTATTAAAGGACACAAGAGACCTGATTTTACATTGAAGTGAACAGGGCAAGAATCTGCCCCTGCAATTTTGGTTTTGATTTTTTTCCCCCCAACTGGATCCTACTGAAAAAACAAATTGGTAAATGTGCTGGAAGCCATGTGCAAAATTGGTAGAAAGAAGACAGGAAGAGAAGAACAGCTTTCCTAAAGTCACCTTCCCCATCTTCCAGCTTCCCACAAAAGCATGTACGAACCACTGATGCATTTTCATTACTCTGTTAGAGCTCTCAATTAGTCAAAAGCAGGTAACCCACTCTAATTCACCCGTTCTCCAGCAGCAGAGACACACAAGAGAGCTGGAGTTTCGAAGCACATCATATGTGTTTGCAGACACTACCCTGAGCAGACTTAATAGCTAAGGTTCAAGGATGTCTGCACTCCCTGACAAGCAGTGACTTATCTTTCCTTTCTTCATTATCCCCTCTCTGTGTGTTCCTAAAATCCTACGTACCTTTGTCTTGCTGTTAGACCCACCCATCCTTTACCTATTCTCCTTTATTACAGGAAATATCGAGTTAGCTGTGTACTTAACACAGACAAATATGCTGCAGCATAAATGGGCATATGTTCTAGAATAACCAAATAATACCAAGAACATTGAGCTAACTGTAATTGGTTTAATATTTAATCCAATAAAATACTTTGTTTCTGAATTTGTCTGGAGGAAAAAAGGGTGTATCTTCTGACCTGCCTCAGCAGTGTCATGAAACTATATAAGGGAACAGCCTACAGCAGAACATATAGTCAAGCCTTCCAAAGACTGCTCACAAATTACTCTTAAATGTCAGCCCTTAAAACCTGGCCTCTTGGAAGTCCCTTTAGGTCCAGGTCAATAGGACTGGGGCAATCATTACAATCAAGACAAGAGCCCTTAGTCCTCAATGTTCATAGTTGACTTCTGCCTGCTGAAGTGCACCCACCGCAGTCGTCTTCTGTGCTGGCTTCCGTTAGTTCAGCCATCATCCCCAAGAGTTTTAACCAAACTCGTAAGACTTATGTGATACCTTGGTGGTTGGACTTGATGATCTTAAAGGTCTTTTCCAACCTTAATGATTCTGTCTGGTTTTACTTGTTCATAACTAGACATATTAAAGTCTTACCAGCACAGCATTAAGGGGAGTTATTATAGATTAAATCCTAACTGATGCTCTGTTTCCTCCATCTATTTGTCTTCACTCCTTGGATTGCCTCCAGCTTGTCCAGTCTGAGGAGTCTTTGCAAAAGCACTTGCCTAGGCTGTATATGCAACATTAGAACCATGTAAGTCCTAACGTGTGCTACTATGTATTTCAATACAATTTTTGTTCCATCAAAGAAGTATCATGCTGTGAGTTTCTATCTAGTCCCAGGCCTTTTTCCCTATCCTACCTTTTGTCTAGGTTCAAAAAAACCTTCTAACACTTCCTCTGAATGTGACTGTTTTGACTAGTATCAAACAACAAGTGTCATTTACCTATTTCTGCAAAACGTGCCATTTAGCTCGTGTAACTCTGTTTTTCCACCTTTGATCTGAACCAGTTCTGTCCTGAATATGGAAATGTATTTGATCCCTCTGGTGTGAAGTTGCAATCATAGAAATTAAGAAATAGTACAAAAATTAGAAAGCAAATATTTTACCCCCCTGGTAGTAGACTTCTATTAATACACAAGCTTTCACTTCCCTATTGAGATGTTACCATGCAGCTTTCCAACTTCCCAAGCAATTTTTCAACCCAAACAGAAAGACTGGAACAAAAACCCTTTAAAAAAAACCATCTTCATTAGGATGTAGATAATGAGCCACAAGCTCTTTCAGTAATGCCAGATGGGGAATTGCTGCATCCAGACCAATAACATGCTGTAGGGCTACAGCATCCTGGTTACAGGACTTGCAGCCAGGACATACAGGCACCAAATGATGAAGAATACACACTGGTAATCTGTTCCAGGGGACATTTAACCTCAGTTACAGACAGAAGAAATCAGATTTCTAACTACTGGATCTTGCCTTTGCTTAATCTACTACATTACAGTGTCCTTTGGTGGAAAATGCTTTCTTCTGTACAGGATCAAGATCAAAGACGTGCAAAGCAGATGTAATATCGCACTGAATTGTGTCAATAGAACCATTTAAAAGAATACGGTTTATTTATTCAGGTTTTATGACATTTACAGCAGTACTATGGTACTGATTGCTCTTGCCATTAGAGTCTCAGTGAACTCTCATTCAATTCTAGCCTATAATTTTACAACGGAAAAAAAAAACAGATAACCTGTTGATATGATTAATAATGTTTTCACTCAGGCCAGGCTTTGGCCACACTGTTCATAGGAGGTTTTAAAGATAGGGTGAGTAAATTATTAAAAGATGTTTTAATACATGGTTAATAAATTATCACAGACTGTCAGAGGTCATTACTTTGCTTATATTTGCCAGCTCCAGACAGCTTTGTGAGCAAGAAAGCTCAACAGCTCATCCTGCTCGCCTCCCCACTCGGCTTCTTTGGGCAGCCTCCAGCTGAGCCCCAGGGGCTCATCCTCCATTTTTTCCTGCTGCGGTTAACACTCTTCCATCAGCTGATACTCCGTCAACAGTTGCCTATAAAATGCCTCCACTCAAATTACCTATGGAGCAAATGCTAGTTGTGCCTAAAAACACATTGACAACATGAAACCACAGCTATACTGCTTATTTTTTGCTATGAAATAACATGGTCATACAGCAGCACAGCCAAGTCCTGCCACAAGACAGAAGGACACTGGCAGCAAGAAGTCTCACTGGCACTGACGAAGCCACAGCCAAAAAGAAAGAGTGGCAGTTTTGGACCAAAGTATTTGTCTTTATTTACAGAAAAATGAGAGCTGCCATCCTCATGTTATCTGCTTAAAAATCTTCCAACCCCTTCCGTGCAATGCTATTACTTGATAACTAAAGGAAAATCAGTTTTGCTTTTGTGTGCATGTGTGAGAAAATACATGGAAGTTCCTTGCTGAGCTGAGGAAACTTACCTTTGAAGATAAGTTTCATAAGCCTGAGATGAAGCTCCAGCCAGCCAGCATTTTACCAGTGATTGCCCTGTATTCGGGAAGGTGCTGTATACTCCCACATTGCTCTTAATGCTCCCTGGGCATCCACTCACAGCCAGTACTGCAGAGGGGCCATCAGGCTGGGTGCTCTGAACCACAGGTTCTGATGTGACTGCAGAACTGCTTGCTGCTGGCAGATGGCAAATGCCTTGTACTGGAGTAAAACACAGGCTTTTTTTGTCCTGTCCTTTTTTTGTCACCTCTGACAGGTGAGAAACTGGTAACTTCTGAGAATGTGCAAGAAACCCCGATGAAACAGGCAGTTACGACAAATTTGCAATTACTGAACTGACGCTGAAAGAAGCATCAGTCTGAAGGTTACCACATGGGAAGAAAGTTCAGCAACTGTTCAAGTTTGGCAACTGGATAGGACAACCTACTCTATCTACTCTTTCTTAATTTCTATGAAAGAAATCATGGGAATAGCTTTACAACTTCTGAGAACTTGGATCAAAGTCCTGGCTCTTTCAGATGTAAAGTGTATGATCAAACAGTGTCTTGATTATCAGCTTAACTTGATCTTGAGACTTGAAAGTGTCACTCTTAAAGCTTTGATTTCTTAGGCATTATTTGTAAGGGAATTAAAGGCCTAAGGAGTCATAACACATAAGTATGAAGTGGAAATGTGACATTAATAAACCATCAGGCTGGTCTTTAAATAGTGCAAGGAAAAGTTACTGCATCTCTAAAAGGAGCCAAGACCACAGTAGTTTATAGCTTTACAGGCTTTTAAATATTAACCCTTGTTACATTGACTCTGTAAACACTGACACCTAACCACTCCTTCCCAACTAACAGCCAATTCTGTACAGTACATTATTTTTTTATTCAGGTAAGTGGGGCCATGACCCCAGCCACAGATCCACAGATCCACCATCGGTAAGAGCGGGCATAGGCTGAAATGGCCCTGGACACACTCACTCCTTGCTTTTGTACTGTCTCCTCCCTTGTTCCAGCAGCAGTGGCAGCTGTGGAGCCCCACAGGGAGCTAACTCGGGGGCCTGAAACAGCGTGCCAATAGTCCAGCAAAAGACAGGGTTTACTCTGACTCTGCTCAGTGCCCTGAGACAAGTTTGCTCACGAGATTTGGCCATGCAAGCTCAAGAGCATGGAGGAATTAGAGGCAGGAGGAAGGCACTAAGTCTTCCAGCATCTTATGTCTGTGTAGGGTGCCTAGGAAACCCTAGCCTTAACCCTCCTGCTCACAGAGCTATTTCAGAACACAGGACTTACCCTGGCAAAGCGATGCAGCACCAAGCACTGGTGTTGCAGAGTATGTTACTGTTTAATGGCACTTCACGAGCCTGGCACGCTAACCTCCCTTCCACCTCTTCCAGAAAGGGGCCTGAAGTGCCACAGCCAAAAGCCATAGGGCTGGTCCCTCACTGCATGGTCAGCAACACCGGCTAACTATCAGTATGTCCTCACATGTGGGGTTACATCTCACAACACCTCCCACAGCTTCTAGGACTAAGCAAGAGATCTACCTCGCTCTCATCAGTAAGAACATGCACTGAGTGTTATCCCATCATAAATCTTTATTTTGTGTCAGAAGAAAAACCTGAGTGGCTGTCAGCAAACTCTTAGAAGTGCTTTCTATCAAAATAATTAAAGTTCAACTTAAGAGCTGGCACTGGATAATACCAGCCAATTTTCTCTGCTTCCTGGAAATGTTATCCATGACGCAGGATGCTCTTCTCTGTACTGCAGAGAGAAAATAGATACTGGAAAGCTTTTTCAAGCTTAAATAGCTTCCATGTCTATCCTATGAATCTCATTTCAGAAACCAGTCCAAAACTGTAACAAAAGCAACAGTTCAAAAAGAGAGATCGGTCCTTACCTGCACGCTTGTGAGGGTGGTGTATTGGTAGGCTTTTACAATCATGTAATTGGCTTCTACATCAGCCAGTCCCAAAAAAATATACTTCCACCACCTCTGCTTCAAAATTTGCCACAGACTGTCACTGCCTGTTTAAAAGAAAGCAGCAATCAATATATGTTTTTTTCCAACCAAACGTTGCACAGGAATCTTGCTTTTCAGAAGTATAAATAACACTGAGATGTTTGATTTTGGTTGCCCCTGCTTAAGAAGGACACAGTAACAGCAGAATGCAGGCTGGGAGGAGGCAATGAAAATGCTGAAAGGCACAGAAATTCTTCCACATGGGGAAAAAAATGACAAAACTAGAGTTGTTTAAAGAGTAAATTAGTAAGAATAGGAGGAAAATTAAATAGCCTCTGGCAAAGAAGTTTGTTACAACAAAGCTTATTTTCCCTAATATAACATAGGATTTGAAACCAAAGAGTACATAATTTTAAACATATATGAAATGAAATCAAGTTAAATGCACGTTTAACCTGTGAAATTCATTTCCATGTGTTATTACAGGGCAGGAA